ACTCGGCCAGCCCTATGTATTGGGACATTTTCGATTAGTGATCTCTTTACTTCTTATAGGTCTTTTGAGATTTTCTATTTCTTCTTGAGTCAGTTTAGGTAATTTGTGTTTCTAGGAATTTTTCCATTTCATCTAGGTTATCTATTTTGTTGGCATTCTATTGATCTTAGTATTCTCTTATAATCCTTTTTATTTCTGTAGAATTCGTAGTAATGTCCCCATTTTCAATTCCGATTATGGTTTTTGTGTCCAGGCTGACTTTTGAACTTGACTCCAACCTCTACCCTAATTCATGACACCATCTCCAACTTGACCTCTGATATCTGACCTTTGGCCCTCCTAGCCTAACTGCTAATTGCACCTCTCACTTTATTGATCCTGACATCTGCCTGCTGCCTTGGACTTCAAACATATTGCCTGACATCGAACCTTGATCCACCACCCTTGGCTGGGCTTTGACCTCTGATGACCTCTGGTCCTCACAGCTACACCTTTGGCAAAGTACAGGGCAACAGCGATCTCTATTGGAAGGCACAGCGCTATAGCCTCATCCGGGAATTTCACTCTCGGCCAGCACTGGCCCCACCCCTCATCATCTTCTCGCACGTGTACCTCCTCATCCGGCGATTGAGCAAGCAGAGGGCCCGCTTGCCATCCTCCCCGGACAATTTTCGTGAGAGCGGGTGTTGGCTGAAAACACAAGGGGCAGGACCTGGAGAGAAAGAAGAGCAGGATAGGCTGGGGAGGATGCGCGGAAGCACCAGTGGGCAGGGCTTAGGCTGCCAGGGGGGCGTGGTCAGGGGAGTGCCCTCAGGGTTTTGGGTGGGGTGGCTGGGTGCGGTAGAGGGCGTGGTCCGAGGACCTTGGGCCCTTTAACTCTGTCCTGACCCTGTCCTTCAGGGGTCCTCCTCCCAAAAGAAACTGAGAGGGAGCTGTTGACGTGGGAGTCGGTGCGGAAGGAAAATTTCCTGCTGGCACGTGCGAGGGACAAGCGGGAAAGCGACTCGGAGCGTCTGAAGCGCACTTCGCAAAAGTGAGGGCAGGGCATGGCTGGGAGTGGGGCTTTTGGCCTCAGGGGTGTATTTTGTGACAACGATTGGGCGGAGAAGGGGCGGGGGCTTGCAAAGCACTGGGCTAGAGACCAGTCTGAGGGGTTGGGGTCCTGGATTGCTAGGAAAGAAGGCGGAGCTCCAGGGGTGGGGCTTCCGAGGTAGGTGGGGTTGGTGGGCTGCTGGCACAGGCCTGAATCCCTGATACCTAGGGTGGACACAGCGTTGAAGCAGCTGAGACAGATCCGCGAGTTCGAGCAGCGTCTGAAAGGGCTGGAGCAGGAGGTGAGGACCCTGGGCTAGGCCGAGAGGCATGGCTGGGTGGGGGACAATGAGGGTTTCCATCTGATCCCTTGATGTACCCACTGCTCCCCAGGTCCAGCACTGTAGCCGTGTCCTGGGCTGGGTGGCTGAGGCCCTGAGCCGGTCTGCGTTGCTTCCCCCAGGGGGAGTCCCTCCTCCAATACCTCCTGGGCCCAAAGGTCAGTGTGTGGGGGTCTATCTGTGTTTATTTCCGGCCTCTGTCACTACTTAACTTCTGTGTGTCTGCTTTCCAGATCTCTGTTCCCATATCTCTGTTTTTCTTTTCGCTGCCCTTTCTTTGTCCCTGGTTCACTCCCTGGGTCTCCTTTGGGCTTTTCATGGGCCTTTCTCCTCCATTTTGCCAGTGTCCCTTTTTTCCTGTTCTCTTTATGCCCACCATCTGTTCTGTCTTCTGTTTCCTCCAGACTGAGCCCTGCTGGTGGACTTCAAGGAGTAGCCCCCATGGGGAGTTTTTGCTCCCAGAGTAAGGCCTAACTGGTCCTGAACTCCTGCACCTGGTGGCCTTGTCCCTGAGATGGACCCCACTCCATGGACTACCACCTACCCATCTGGGGTGCTATCGAGATCACCGCAAGAAGTGTCGTCTATGCGAACCACAAAAGGCCTGGCCCCTCCCAGGACCAGCTCCACTCTGGGAGGATGAGTTTCTAGAACCACAGCCCGCTGGGCGGGAGAAGGCTACAGGGTCCTGGGGGTACAGGGACCACAGACTACTCACATCTCCCCACACTGGGGAAATAAAGCCATTTGAGAGGAGTAGGTTCTGGATGCTTGATTCATGGGGAACTGAAGTATGTCTAGATCCTTTTGGGATGTGCCTGGAGCTGAGGGGTAGGATTGGTGTCCTTCATTGGTTTGTTGCTGTATTTCAGATATCTTGGGGTCTGCTCTTAGCCCCATTATTCCTGTCTGACTCAGGCCCAGCCTCTCTTGTCTGCACTATTTTGAGGGCTCTCACTTCAGTGAGTCAAGAACCCCAACCATCTGTACCTCCCTAGTTCCTACTTTACAGTGGAAAAAGAACTCAGTGATAAAAGCAAATTATTTCTTGGAGTGGGGATGAGTGGGCGCTGTGTACATCTGCTTTGGCAACAGGGGAACACGTGATGCAAATTTGAATAGATAACTACATATGTGTCTTTAAAAAGTCTAATTAGTGGAAAATTACAGGCCATGCATGCATGGAATTGAAGCAAATATGCATCATTATACATGCAGTTTAACTAAACAACCCATAACAAACTAAACTGGTAATGACAAGGCTGAACTGACAGCAATTATTAGTTAAATAGCAAAAAAGCCACCAACAGCCAACACATCCAAAAATCAAAACCAAAACATCCTTTCTCCAAATTGGAGGACATCCAACTATCTGCCACTTTGGGTACAGAGTAGCTTTGAAACATTGCCAAGTATTGTGTGGCAACCAGATTTCTCTGGAAGATGCTGAATTAGTTCTCAGTAACCCAAGTAATAATAATAATAACAGTAATGGCAATGGCAGCAATAACAATGATGACAACGACAACAGCTAGCACACACAGGGTGCTATGTATGTGTCTGGCATTGTGCTAAATGCTTCACACATGGTAAATAGATAAATTCTCATGACAACCATATAAGGTAAGTACTGATGTCTCCATTTTGCAGAAAGGAAACCTGAGGCACAGATAAGTGACTCACATGAGGTCACACAGCTAGAAAGTGGCCGAGTTTGAATAGAAATCTGGGCGGTCTGGATCCAAAGCCCTTGGAACGTACTAATTTGTATTTGGAAATGTCAAATGCTACAAAACCCTAGGAATTTACTTAGCATGCTCGTTTATCCTTCTATACTTTGTTCTGTGATGGTGCGGTTGCGACTCCGCAAGCATTTCAGCTTTGCCTGCTGGGTTCCTATTAGGCTCTGCCTAAAGGGGGCGCTAGAGGGAGACCCCTGACTGGCGGAGGAGGAAGAGGGGACTTACTCCTTTCTATTATATTTGCTTCCAGGTCCTGAGCGTCGCCCAAGAACAGGGCTTCCTCTGACAGCAGCAGTTGGTAGCAGCTTTCGGCTTTCTCCCCCAGCTCCCAGAACCAGTTTTGTTGTATGACCTCAGTCACACCAGCTCCATCCAGGCTGCCCTGTTTTCTAGTCTGGGTTTCAGCTCCACAGGCATACTGCTCTAAGAGTTTATGTTCTACTAACTAGTCTGTTTCCCCAATCCTAGGGGTGATATCTTCCTGCAGTTACTATTTCTGTGCTAATTCGGTTTCTTTCTACTCCTTTCCCAGTTTTCTGAGATCCTTGTATTAATTTGTTTCTGTTGAAATATCTATATAACAGGAAAACTCAGATCTGGTGAATAGAAATCTGGTGAATAGAAATCATCAAAATAGAGAATTACAACCTCTCCCTTTATTTCAACATACAAATCAATTTGGAAACCAAAAGTCCCTTAATGAAGGGGAGGCTGGGGACTCTTGAGGAATTATCCTACAATCCTGCTATAAGTTTATATTTTAAATCTTCCCTGCTTGTATGTTTTCCCTCCACAAACCTATTTCACTTCATTGCATAGCCCTAGTGGTGGGTACCCTGATCCCTGTGCATGACAGTCGGTGACCACAAAGGAAAATTCTCCACCTGTTCTGGTGCCATGTTTTTGGAAGCCACACAGAATTTAACTGGGTCATTATGAAGGTGGAAGATAGTTCCTCCTAGGAGTGATGACAGCTCACCAGCAAGGCCAGTAACTGAGTTTCCATTAACCAAGAGTGGGCTGCTTAGCCATGATCTGCTAGTTGTAGATTCTCTGGAAGGGCTGCTGAGGACATGGGATGGCTGTGGCATCCACTAGCTTGGGATCCGGCAAGGTCCCCCAAGATGTCTGCTCCAGGTCTCAGATGTGGGGCAGAGGGAGTGACCATCAGCAAAAAGTATGTAAGCTATGAAAACCCCAAGCTAGCAGGTTATTTGAAAGGTGCATTTTATTTATTTTATTATTATTTTTTAAAGATTTTATTGGGGAATTGGGGGAGGGGAACAGCACTGGGGAATCGGGGAAAGGGGAACAGACAAGTTACTGTTGTTTTGTTCTTCAGTCTAGTTGTGGAGGATGTTGCTTCACTGGCCCATGTTGGTATCATCATTGCGCTCTTCCCAGGTGAGGCAGATTGGTCGCCGGCCTCTGGACGGCTGCTCATGGTGGCTCTTGGCAGCTCACGCCAGCTGCCAGCTGCTCACGCTGGCTGCCAGCCACTCACGGTAGCTTATGCAGGGGCTGCAGCCTACACCATCGCGGGTGACTCACAGCAGCCCAGCTCCAGGTTGAGCTGTTGTTCACCATCTTAGCTGTAGAGGGCACAGCATCACTGGCCCCATGTGGAATCCAAACCGGGGCCCTGCTGCTCATAGCTGGTGTCCCAAGCCAGCTCTTAACCAATGCGCCACTCTGCCGGCCTGAGAGGTGCATTTTATACAAAAAGAAAACTCCAGATAGAGGTGGCAGGTCGTCAGAGAAAAGGAGGTGGGAAGGTGGAGTGAGGATCCAGGAATGCACGTGTTTGTGACCAAAGGCTGAGGAACTGATAAGTTAAAAGGACCGGTGGGGCTGGAGGAGATGGAGCTATCAATGCTGCTCAAAGCTGCAGCTAAAACCTATTATAAAATGGGTTTGGTTGCTCCCTGTGCAGCAAACAGACAAAGCAAGGGGCTGACACTCAAACCCAGATTGGATTTGAGAGAACTGTGGGTGTTGGACATATGTTGTTGTTTCTTTTGGGTAAATACCTAAGATTGGAATGGCTGGGTTGTATAATAAGTAAGTGTGTAAGTTTATATAAAGTTATATGTATAACTTTATATGAAACTGCCCAACTCTTTTCCAAAGTGGTTGCACCATTTGCATTTTGCATGCCCACCACCAGTGCATGAGAGAATGCCAGTTGCTCTGTATCCTTACTAGCACTTTCTATTATCAGTGTTTTTTTTTAAGATTTTTATTAAAAATATAGTTAATATATAATATTATATTAGTTTCAAGGGTACATCATAGTTATTCAACATTTGTATACCTAAATAAGTAATCACCAGGGCCAGCCGAGTGGCGTGTTGATTAAGAATTGACTTGGGGG